GGTCACGGCTACCACGTGAACTACTGTCATTTGCTGATAATTGAGGACCCCGGTCACTTCCTCGGACAACCTCTGTCTTTCAGAGCATATTGTTCTGAGCACATGTCATGAGAAGTCCTCCCTGTAGTCAGCCCACTGCACAGCCACAACGCTGCAGGGTGTCTAGCCCTCCTAGGACCTTCCTGTTTTCTTTGGGGGGGGAGAAGTTCGGGGGGGCAATTTCCTCAGGTGCGCTTCAGGTTAGGTTCACCTCCTGCGTGGTCTGATCTGCTGGCCTGTCCACGCCCGGCTCCTTGGTTGTAAAGTCCGCGGACCATCTGCATGGGCTTGGGCGATGATTCCATGAGGCTGATCCCATGAAGTTCTGAAAACCCGGCTCCTCATGACTCCTGACAAGTGGGAGTTGACATGTTAGGGGGCAAAGCGTGCTCTGCCCAGCCCAGGGTCGCCCCATTGGAGATGAGAGGTTGGCCCCATTCTTCCCTCCACCCCTTCTTAGTGCACCTTTGCAGTGGCCAGCTTCTATTTTACAAGACGTCAGGGTTGTTATAAAGTCATTTGAGAATTGCTCCAGACAGCAGACCTTCAACAGAGTGAGGTAATGAGCAGGTGGTCAGAGCTGGGTTGCAGCCTGGCATCACGCTGGTCCTCTCTCAAGGCCCAGCAGCAGCCCAGAGTCCACGCCCCTCTGTCCCTGGCCGTGCCTCCAGGGGGCTTCCGCGGGGAGCCAGGCTGCACACTCCCCTGTCCTTCCCGGGGGCTGGTGCCCCCAGCCTGAAGTGGGAGTGCCCTGTGCCCAGTGCTGGACACAAGTGGACACACCCAGCAGGCACCAGGCTCCTTCCTGACCGCCGCTCAGTATTTAACTTTCCACACGAGATTAGATTAAACATTTGGGTTCTTAAAAGCCCAGGACGGCAGCCTGTAGTCAGCAAGCGCTTGGCCGCCGGTGGAGGGTGATAGAGCTCCCGCACCTGAGCCAGCAGGGAGGCCCAGCCAGCCTGGCTTTGCCACAAGAGTCTACCGCTGAACGGCTCACGCGCTGCCCAGGTAAGTCTCCACTGCCGCCTTACTACTGAGGAATTAAGTAACGGGGCTGTCGATAGTCTTTTCTAGAAAATTGTGGAAGGAATGATTTTCTAGTATGAAGCCAAGTCTGTCTTCCCTTTCCTCCCTCCCTCCCTCCCCCTCCTCCTTCCTTCCACTTTCCCTGCCTCTCACCCCACCTGCTGCTCCCACCCTTTCTCATCTTCTCCACCTACCCACCCCCTCTTTTTCCTTATTTCTTCAATAATTGCCTTTGAATAAAAATTGCAAAAGTCTTTTTTTTTTCATAAGCATTTCACGGTAAATATAGATAATCGTGTCGTTTCTGAATTTTTAAATAAAAATGAAGCTTTGCTGCCTTCTGTGGCTCATGTGATGCTAACAACCCCCCATCTTTGATAAGACAACTTTGGACTTGGGGCTCCAGTGTCCACATGCGTTTGTCCTGAGTCACACACATTTGTGACACACGCAGCCAGGGACCTGAGCACTCTGTGTCCTGAAGATGGGGCACAACTAGCGATGTCCCTGAGCTCAAACCACGGTCTTGGTCTCACTTTTGCCCAGCTGAGCTGACCAGCGCAGCGAAGTACGTGGGCACCTGTTGCCTCCGCTGGGACAGGGTGCTGAGTGCTCATGCAGAGACGTGGGTCTGGTTCCAGACGGTGACCTTGGGCGGGGGACTTTAGCGCGTGTGACCTTGGACAGGTGACTTGAGCTCCGCAGCCTCTTGGCCCTCTCCTGCCGCCTGAGCAGCCAGCCCGAATCGTCCCCCTCTGCCTGTCCTGTCCTGCAGGCAGGAGCCAGTGAGGAGGCACTGGGCAAACAGCGCCTCCTCCCAGTGAGGAGGCACTGGGCAAACAGCGCCACTGGTGGCCTCTGCTGAGAGGGAGTGGGGACACTCAGTACCGATCCAGTGCACAGGACGCTGGGTTCGAGACCCAGATCAGTGTCAGTATGTCTTAGCCTCATGCCCACCCATGAAATTGTTCCCAGTCCCTGCGGGTTGGCTTTTCCTGGGCTTGGAGCAGACAGCAGACTGCTCTGTCAGGTCTCAAGCAAATGTGCTCGAGACATCAATCCTCTTGGACTTGAGTTTCCCAGCCTGCAGGGTCAGCACCTCAGTGCTGAAACCCCGCAGGTCTTTCAGTCGGGAACAGCACCCCTGGCCAGCTCCGGGGCCTCTGCCTGGCAGGGGACTGAGCAATGCCAGACGCGTCCACGCTAGCAGGCAGGGCCGCCCCACACCGGAGCAAGCCAAGACCCCCAAATGGGCCTGCTCAAGCTGGCGCTCCCTCACTGAGCAGAAGGAACTAAGTAATTCCTGTCACGGCAGCACCGGAGAGCACACCCTGCATGGTCTGCTTCTCTCCAGAGGGCCCGCTGTGGCCAGGCTCCCTGGACACCCCACCCCCACGGCTCCTGCTGCCCCCACCAACTCTTCACTTTGTAGACTTAGCTCTCCTGGCTCTTCTGTCATCTTTATGTTCTAAGTTGGCCTCACACAGGGAAACTGAGCTCCCCACCGTGGAGACGGGAGCTGGCAGATGACGCTGGAGGAAGGCTGAAGATACAGAAAAGGGCTGAGAGCAACAGCGGAGAACCCTGTCTCGCCCCACGGAGGCTGACCCTGAGAGAGCAGGGCGTGGGGCTCTTTTGATGGCTGGTGCAAGGGTGAACACCCCCATAGGAGCTTCCTTTGCCTCCTCAAGGGAGGAGGAGTCAGGGCTGAGCACTGAGCTGGATGCCGGGCTGAGCCAGGCTTGTTCACCATGAGCGGCGTTGTTCGGAGCTGGGAGCCGGTGCCTGTCCCACGCCCGGGACGGGTGGCTGGCATGCCCTTGGGGCAACCTAGATGCGACCTGGCATTTCTCTCCAACGCACTGGACTTTGTGTGAACGGAGAAGGAGAGTTTACACCTCTTTGAGTGTGGATCTTAGAAGACCAGACTGAGCAAGGTCTCTCAGTGACACAGCTTTCACTGCAATGTGTCCTGGGGGAGAAAGACCCCGAAGCTTGTGGGGGTCTGGCTGGGAAGGTCTGAACCATCTCTTGCACACAGGAGGAAGGGAAAGACTCGTGTTGGAGGACGCTGCTTTCAGAGCAGCATGAGGCCGCCTTGTCCAGTCTGTTCCGCCGACGCCGACTTGCCCGTCTGTGAGGCAAGGTCAGCTCCGTCCTGAGCGCCCTGTCACTTGGTCCGTGCCCGTCATGGTCTTTGCACTGGGCTTTGCCACTGCCCTTGCCCTCCCTTTCGAGAGCTTCCGCCACAGAACGCTCTTCGTCGTCTCTGCACTTCTAGTGCCCAGCCTGCGCCTGGCACCCGAATGTCTTCATCACAGGCCCGTTGTGTGCCTACTGTGAGCCAGCTGCTGTGCCAGGCACGGCTTCTTCAAGGTGGACAGAGGTGATGGGAGCTCTGTCCTCATCGAGGTGAATAGTGGGGAGAGATGAGACCCCAAGACAATCATCACACACACACACACACACACACACACACACGGCAATATACACACAGAACACCCCCTGTTGCAGAATCTCTGAGGAAAAATAACATGCTGTGGGAAAAAAAGAGTTGTTTCTGGTGGGGACAGATGGACCATAGGGCGAGGAAGCCTCAAAAGTGACAGGACCTGAAGCGGGAGGAGGAAGTAGAGAGGGAAAGAGCCAAAGCTCTGCAGGTTGACGGGGTGTGATGTGCAGACGCCCAGCAGCGGGAGGAGGGGAGACAAGTCTGAGCAGTGTGTCGTGAAGGTAAAGTGAATGGGGAGGGCCCAGGTACCCAGCCCTGCCAGGTGAACCTGGTAAGGAGGTGGGACTTTGTTATTAGAAAGGCAGAGAGGTATTTTGCATTGTTTTGAAAGCAAGGGGACAATACGACCCACTTGTCTCTTAAAAGGGACACAGGGGGGGGGGCTCCCTGGTGGCCTAAGGGTTAAGTTTCAGCACTATCACCCCTGTGAGCCCAGCCAGGGAATGACCCTCAGGGCGCAGCAGACCTTTCCTGTCTCCCAGCTGCTCCCCTCAGCAGTGGGTTTCAGTTGATCCACCTGTTCTGCTCCCCACTCTGTCTCTGCTGAATCCTCTCATCCCCCCACCACACCTCTGGCCTGCACCCCAGTTCTTGTATGCATAAATAAATAGAATAAATCTTAAAAGTGAAAGGCGTAGAGGGACTGCTGAGCGGGGCGGGGGTGGGGGCAGGCGTGATGGTGGGAGAGGGCCGTTTGCAGTGGGTTGTGCAGCTGAGAGATGTTGGTGGTGACAGTGAAGAAGGAGAAAGGAACTGGCTGGCTTTGAGAAAAATGCTTGCTAGGGTTGGTCCCTTTGTAGAAATTCCCTCACATCCTTCTTTCAAATGTAGACTTAACCGGCATCTCTGTGGGATACCTGGTGAGAACCTAGACTTGGGGTGTTGAATGCAGCAAATTCGTAGAGAAACAAGGTGTGATGCAGCATAGCTCTTGGGAGGTGACTGATCTATTCAAAAATAAAGCAATGCATGATTGTTGATGAAAATTGGAACATCTGAAAAGTAGAGAGATGAGAAAGAACGCGTGTAAACCACCCACTGTTAACATTTTGAACTAGTTCCAATCTTTTTCATGTGCATGTGCCTGCTTCTATTGGTTTAGGTCATAAATTGAAATCATACTATATACAGATTTACGTTCCTCATTCAACTTTTGTTGTCAGACATTAGGCATGATCAAAAAAAAGGCACAATGCTCATTAGATAAGGTTAAAGAATAAAAAACTGTCAACAAACAAAGCGATAAAATAAAACACAAAAGCAAACAGAACAAAAAACCGCCCTCAGTCACCAGGCAGATGGAGACAGACTGCACTTCTTCCACGCTGCCTCCTCTGTCCCTTGAGTAAAATGTGGAAAGGACACATTTCCTTTACCTTGATCATGCATTTTATTATTTAAATTACAGCAGGAGGGAAATATGGCTACCACATCCAACCTGACCGTGATCCTGGAAGACATCTTCAGAAGGATTTTTATTACTTACATGGAGAACCTGCAAAGGAACACGACAGCTGAGCAAGAGGCCCTGCAGGCCAAAGTAGACGCTGAGAATTTTAACTACGTCATCCTGTACCTGATGGTGGTGATCGGCATGTTCTCCTTCATTGTCGTGGCCATCCTGGTAAGCACGGTGAAATCCAAGCGGCGAGAACATTCCAACGACCCCTACCATCAGTACATTGTGGAGGATTGGCATCAGAAGTATAAGAACCAAATCTTGAATCTGGAGGAATCGAGAGCCACCATCCATGAGAACCCTAGTGCTGCAGGGTTCAAGATATCTCCTTGATAAAGGCGGAGCTCCAGCTGCCGGCCTCCAGAGACAGGGGAGCAAACCCGGATAGTCATCGTGCAGGACATTCGAGGTTTCTCGCTCTCCGTGGAGAATCTGCATGGAGACCACGCGGTTGATCAGTCAAGACGGATAAGCTTTCAATCCCGGTGATTTATGCTTGCTCACTGGAATAATATTTTAAATGGAAGCCCTCTTTTATTTCTGTGCAGTGTGAATGTCATGTTATTCGGTGTCAATAGTGAAAATTAAGCCAAATTTGAAATAAACTGCCTGGGTGGTGGCAAGGGGGAGAGAAGGAGAGATGAATAAATCTTTGAATCTTCTTTCTCATGAAATGTTATTTGTATGTGACTAATTCAGTTTATCAAAATCCCAGATGCATCACCTGGAAGTTCAAAAATCTATCACTTGCTCACTGGGCTGACCTAGGAGCACACATTTACTAATTCATCAGTGTAGAATCTGAAGTGATGAACAGACTCGTGAGGTTACTGAATACCTATTTTTTCCGGGGATCTACAGTATTTGGACAGCTGAAGACAAAACAAGCATTTCAAAAGGGCCAATGGTTCACACAGGAGAAATTGAGTCTTTAAGATCCTAAAGAATCCTTTAGATCACGTGGGCAAGTTTTCAAACAAACATTGAAAGTTTCACAGAAAACTAATCTTAACTGTTTTTATCATAGAAAGAAATACTAAAAAGATCACAACATTGTTTTATAAACAATTTATTCTTTCCACAAGCTTTGATTTTCCTCTATTTGCAATTATTTATTTTCATTTATGTTTGCGAGACTACTAGTTATTTTCATTTATTTTTGGCAAGACTACTGGTATAGCGATATCTTGTGGCTGTGTGCTGGAAAGCTACAGGTTAACTGCTTAACTTTTGCCCTGGGAGTTCATATGATAGAGAATGTTGGGACTAGAAGGCGCCTGAAGGGCTTCGTATTCTTGTCAGACCATTTCATTAGTAGACGAAGATACTGGGGCCCACAGGGGTTGACTGCATTCATTAATTCAATCTGGCAACATTGCACTTCTGTCTCGGGGTCACTGGTGAGACCCCAGGGGTCTAGGGAGGAATCAGACGCTCAGAGCTGGAAGAGCTCACGTTGCCTCTGCCGTAAAGAGGGAGCTGGTTCAAAACCAGCACGTGCCACCATGTGACAGGTCATAACCCGGAGCAGGCGTGGGCACAGCTGGATCCCTGTGAAGTGTCAAAGGAGGGGGGCTTCCCTTGGGTCGCGATCAAGTGATCAACTCTCAGACCAAGTGAGCGCAGGAAGTCAAGGGCAGGGCAGTCTTGTGGGGCCCTGGAGCTTCCTGCCACCTGCCTTGCCCTTTTCTAGCCCCCAAGTCCCCAGGTGCTCAGCCAAGGCAGCCATGTCACCCCGCAGGTCCTCAAGTCACAGGGCCCTGACGACAGGGGCTAGCTAGGGGGGAGGTCGCCAGGTAGGACAAGGCAGGATCAGGTAGGGCATCTGCACACGCTCGTTGTTTGTGGCCTGTCTGTTGGGTTGATTTTCCAGCCCCAGGACCCCTCTAGGGGGGTGGGGAGGGGGGTTGCTTTTGGGGTGCCCCCTCCCATGGGGCAGTCTTTGAGCTCTCTCCAAGCGTGCACACGTTTGCTGAATGAAGGTACTCTCGGGACTTCCTGCCTAGTGATCCTAAAGGAGGATGCATGCATTTTGTCAGGTACCATAAACGCTAAAAGTGGCAGCTTCTAGGACCCACGTGTCCTCCCTGGCAGCCAGCAGCGAGGAGCACCCCCAGAATGCGGGGCAGCTGAAGGCTGGGTGGCTCCGCGACGCCCCACCCTGGGAACACGGTGCTCCGCCAGCTTGGACCAGTTCAGAGGGAGAACAGAAGCTGACAGCAGGTCTGCGGCGCCCGGCCCCGGGTAATGAGACCAGCGGCTGACACCCCCTCCTCCCCAAGGCGCAGCCCCTCTGCGCCTGCGCGTAGAGCGGGGCGCGCACCCAAGCCCGGACACAACGCGCCTGCGCACTGAACGCGGCCCTGGGGAAGCCGCCTGGACGCACCGCGCCTGCGCGCAGAGCGGGGCGCTTCGGGACTTGTAGTTTCCCGCGGCATTGTGGGAGTCGTGGTTCGGGCGCGCTCGGGTGCTGGAGCCTCCGCGGCCTGGAGCTGTAAGTGGGTGACGTTCGGTTCAGCGGGATCTGGTCCGAGTCCTGACAGCTCTTTGGGGCTGAGGAGTCTGGCAGCCTGTCAGGTGATCGCGCTTTCTTTCCGGGATCCCGACAGCGGATCCCTGGCGCGCCCTGCAGGCTCCCCGGGCGAGGACTTGGGGGGTCCCCACTGCTCCCCGCCGCTGATCTTCCCTGTGTGACCACGTTGTGCAGGCGCCCCGAAAGCTGAGCACCTGGAGGGGGGGGCTGTGCGGTTAGGTCGGCCGCGTTCGGGCGGCCAGGGTTGTTCCAGCTAGAATCGTAGGTCTCCAGGAGCCTTGCTGGGGAGCGAAGTTTAGTGGAAGGTGGCGAAAGCCATGACCGCCCTTGGCCCTCATTCATCCTGGGGTCTGAATCATCTTGGCTTTGCTCCCCAAGTCTTACATCGGGGAGTGGACACAGGGTCCGCCCTCGGGTTACTCGGGCTGAGGGCCAGCGGGGTCTAGCGACTCCCCGAGGGTTACACAAGGAGCCCAGGCACCCGCCTTGTCCCATCAAGGCGTGGGGTTCCATCAGCCGAGAGCGCAGACCCTGTACCCCACCCTTACTGTTTAGCGGATCCCAGAAGCAGCTGAGATCTCGAGTCGCAGCAGAGATGGTGCCAAGCACATTGCGCTAACCGCGGCTCCTCTGGCCCTGGAAATCCCACTCTGAGCGGGTTGGGGCTCACCTGCGGCCCAGTGGTGTCCCGAGATTCAGCTGCTAGACCCTTTCCCAGACAGGTTACTTAAAGTGGTTGGGTGAAGGGGAGGAGTGAAAAGAAATGCGGCTGTGAAAAAGGTCAGCTTTGCAAAGTTCAGACAGCACAGCTCAGAAAGAGGCTGGGATGAGCTGAAGGGATTTGGGCACCACCAGACAGACAGAATTCAATGTTTTAGAAGTGTCAAGAAGAAAGCAGAGATTGTGGACAAAATCTGATCCGTATTGTTTTGGTTGGCCGAACCGAAAGGCAGAGGCACATTGGCTGTCTGTTTTCTTGGAGAAGTCTGGCAAAGGAAAGATCAGGATGTATTTCTAGTAAGCAACACAGAACTAGTTTCTAGTCCATTGTTAGTTCTGAGTTTTCAACTAAGACCGGGGGCCATTCCTGGGGAAGTTTAAAATTTCTCGTACTTCATGGATTTTAGGCCTCAAAAGTGGCCACAGCTCCTTGGCTTGAGCTCAGCCAAGGCTACCAGCTGCCAGCTAGCAGCAGCAGAGTCGCTGACCTGCTGATATTTTTAGCGGTTGCAGTTGCTCTCATTTGCCCAAGGCCTGCAGGGCGTTACAGAAAGGGCTGACTTGGAGCACGTAATTTAAGGGACATGCAGCGAAGGGCCAGATTTGCTGTGGGGTGGCAGTGAGTCCTGTCCTCACGCCTCCTACCCTCCCACCCCCCTTCTGTGCTGTCGACAGCTTGAATGTGAGCTTGACTTCCGTTCACCCTGGGTATGAAGTCGAGGCGGCCGCCAGTCTTTTTTTGCATTTGGCTTCCATGATGTCAGGGAGAAGTGGTGACCTAGCAATTCCAGGGCTGGGAGCTGTCCTTTGGATTCTGCTTTTAAAAACAAGAATAGTTTGGGTCAGAGAGGTTAACGCCTTGTCCCAAGTCACATGCCTCGCTGTCGGCGTCACAAGAACTGGGTCTGGCGCTCCGGGCCTCCTGCTTCTCCGCTTTGTCCCTCACCCACTGCCCGGCTCTCTTGCCGGTCTGCCTTTGTCCTGATGCTGTGTGTTCCCGTCCTTCAGCTTGGCGGGCCGTTGGTGGGTGGAGAGAGGTTTATGCTAACAACCGTGGTTGCGCTGACCTAGTGTTCTTGTGTGCTGAGCACGTTCTCCGTGTTGACAGCACAGTCTCGAAGGAGAATTTACAGATAAGAGAGCTGAGACTTAGGCCCAGAGTGTTCAAGGTCACCCCACCGGGACGTAGTGCGTGTTTGCTGGAGGGCCAGACCACTTTGTTCCTTCTGTCAGTTTCTTGGGCCTGTTGGCTGTTCTCGACCTTGGGAATTAGTAGCGACCTACCTCAGTTCACTGGGTAGGTAACTTGGCCTCAACCAGCTGGTGAGGACCAGCCAAACCTGCCTACTCTGTCTGCCTGTAATGCATTGTAAAAGTAGAATCTGCGACCCGGCTCGTCCCTGAGATTTGAGATTAGAGCTTCCTCTGAAAATTCTAGCAATCGCTGGAAAATTCTAGCAACAGATTAGGAACATATTTTACGGGTGCAAGTCAAAAATCTGCTGCTCCTTGCAGATGGGTAATTCTCAAGCACATTCAGACCCTCCTGGGGGTTAAATTCCTCCCACGAGCTTATCTCACCTTGAGGAAGTTTTGGGAAACACTTGGCTCTCTTGTGCCATGCCAGCGTTTCTTCAAGATACTGCCACTGGAGTAGGTGAGGTATGGATTTTATGTGTAAGTGAAAGTCGTCATAAACCACTTTCCCTGAACTCATGTTACTGTGCCTCTTCTAGCTGCCTGTGATGTTTCCCACTGCTTTTAATTCTGATGTAGGAATGGCTAAAGGACATCGCCCCGGGACAGGGCTAGACGGCAGAGCTCGCCCCTGGCAGGCTGGGCCCAGGGGAAGCCCGCCAGGCAGACTGGATGGACCACCCCAGGCCACTCCACGGAGACTCGGGGCCTCAGCCCCATGTGTTAGGGAAGTGGGCGTCTGCTGAATGGCCCCACTCCCATGTGGGCGTGGGAGTGTTATGGGTCATCTCCTGCGTCCGGTGGTGCATGGTGAGCCTCTGAATTTACAGAAGTAGGGAAGGTGGTGCCATTCAGCAGACACCCACTTCCCTAACTCATGGGGCTGAGGCCCCGAGTCTCCGTGGAGTGGCCTGGGGTGGCAACAGATCTAACAGGGGCGGCACCACTCAGCCCTCACTCACCAGGCCAGCGGCTTTGCACCGGGCACTCTGCCACCTGCTGCCCCTCCTCCTTCTCTCCGTCACAGTCTTCCTAAGGTGTCTGTCTCTTCTCCCCGCCCCCCACCACCAAGAGACCTGACCTGGGCTCCTGCTCATGCGCTCACCCCACAGAGATCGGAAGTGAAGTCACACAGGGCCGGCATGAACTGGAAGGTGAGATTGATTCTCAAGTTTATTTATTTCAACTGGAAATTTTGCATTTTCTTTCTTAAAGATTTATTTATTTATGCATACAAGAGCTGGGGCATCGGCCAGAGGTGCAGGGGGAGGGACAGAACAGGTGCATCGACTGGAGTCCACTGCTGAGGGGAGCAGCGGGAAACAGGAGTGGTCTGCTGCACCCTGTGGGTCACCCCTGGCCGGGGATCGAACTCGTGCTGCAGTGGCTGCCAGTTGTTTCACAGTGCTGAGACTGAACCCTTTGCACCACCAGGGAGGCCTGAATTTTGCTTTTTCATCATAAAATTTCATAGCAAGCGTTCCGCGCAGGTAGGTTAATTCAAAAGACGAAATAGATTAAAGCAGGAACCCAAATAAAGTCTGATCCTTTATTTTAGATTCCAGCATGTTGCTGTACCCCCATTCACCAGACTCGGGGAGTCTGTGCCCTTTGGAGTCTGTGTGCAGGGACTTAAGACCAGCCTCACTTCCCTTGCAAAAGCCACACCTGTAAAATTGTCCTTACACTTGAGTATTTGTTATTTTTAAGCGGATTAAGATCTTATGAAGAAATCTGTATTTTTATCCATCTGCCTCCTCTAGGGTTCTTGTGTTTGGAGAGTTAGTAAGGCATATGTGTTAGAAATCAACAGCCCTGTGGCTCCCTACCCTGGAGGGGCAGGAACGGGCCCTGAAATCCCTCTGCTCTGGGCCCCTGAAGTGCCTTTGGCCTGCTGCTGTTCCACCTCTCAGCCCTGAGCGGTCTGCCTCTGGCTGTTCCCGCCACCTTTGAAAAGTCAATACCTAAACCACCTACCTTGGTCATTGTTAGTGTGTTTCCTTTTCAGTGGTTTCTAACTTGTTAAAATAGACATTCCCTTAGCTGCTCAAGTCTCCGCAGGCTTGGGCCTCGGGAACGGTGGGGGAACCTTGGGCTACATCCTGGTAGGTCTCCAGAGGCTGTCCCTGCAGAGACGGAGGTTGGAAGAGAGCGACTTCTCCTGCAGGGGGTCAGTGAAACCCCAAGGAACGTAGAAGCCAGTTGGGGCAGCGCACGGCTGATGTTGGCCTCTGAGGGCTAAAATAAAGTTACCACCAGGATATTCTCTTCATAGCCTGTCCATGAACATACTCAGCCCTCCTCTTTCTAACATGCAAACCGTCAGGAACCTACACGGATTCAGGTGTCTTAGGGGGACGCAGGTTTTGGGACGTTTACTGTAGTTTCGAGGGATGGGCAACCTGGGGACCAAGCCAGCCATTATCGTATCATGAAAAGCTCTGAGCGGCTTCTGCCTACCCTGCTCGGAGCGGGTACCCAGTGCCCGCGGGCCGCGTTCCTGTTCTTTGTGGCAATGCCAGCAGGCTCCCGCCCGGTTTCTGCTTTTACTGTATCTTATACTCCTGCTGTGCCGCTTCCCTCCCTCCTTCGAGTATCCATAAGTCACGTCCAGTAGCTTCGCAGGTAGTGACGGCCATTGCCTCTGGGAAGTTCAGTAGCCAGGTCACCGTTTGCTGGTGTCCATGAGGCTGATGAGCGCCCGGGAGAGCCCCCCTGTGGATGTAGCATAATGCGGATGCGCTCAAGGAATCAGAGGCGCTTTTATTTGGGAAGGAATTTTTATTTGTATGTTTAAAAGATTTATTTATTTATGCACAGAAGAACTGGGTTACAGGCCGAGGTGCAGGGGGGTGAAAGGATTCAGCAGAGATGGGGGAGCAGAACAAGTGAATTGACCAAAATATACTGCTGAGGAGAGTCGCTGGTGAGACAGGAGAGGTGGGCTGCATCCTGTGGGCCAGCTCCCTGGCTGGGGATTGAACCCGTGCTGCAGTAGATGCAGATAGCTTCATAGTGCTGCGCTTTAACCCCTTATGCCACCAAAGAGGGCCCAGGGAAGGAATTTTTGAGTCACACAGCTCATAACTATCATTCTGGTGACACTGATCTTGTAATCATGAACAGCTAATTTAGTATTTGCCATGTATGGGATTTCACAATAAAATCTTCTGGTACCAAGAGCAAGTAACTCAAAGCCGATGTTATTGCCAGACTTTGCTGTGGCCATTAGGCTAGAACTCCCCCCAACAGGAAACACAGGAGCACGGAGTAGCAGCTAAGCTTTGATGTTTACAGTGTGACTGTGTTTTATTTTTACATCTGTTCCCTCCACGTGACAGTGCTCATGAGCAGCCAGAAGCACGGGAGCTGGTAGTGTGTTGGGGCTGCGAATCCAGAGGCTCAGGAAGGTTAAGTGACCTGGTCATGCAGTCGGTGAGCAGCACAGAGCTGTCACCCTGCCGTCTGGCTCTGGCGCTCAGCAGCAGGGCTGGGGGCCGGCAAGGGCCAGTGGCCCGGTCAGTCGTGAGAGACCAGTCACTACACCCCCGCCAAGAGCCGTGGTGGGCAGCCCCAGCTCAGGCTTTGCGTCCCGGTCACTGCGGGCCCGCTTGAGCCCAGTGCTGTGACAGGTGCCCAGGAGACTTGTGGGTGAAGGCACGCTCGGGCCGGCCTGGCCCCAGAGCCCTCGCTTTCTTCCTTCAGGTCCTTGAGCACGTGCCCCTGCTGCTGTACATCTTGGCCGCAAAGACATTAATTCTCTGCCTGGCCTTTGCCGGAGTGAAAGTCTACCAAAGGAAGAGGTTGGAGGCAAAGCAGCAACAACTGGACGCTGAGAAGAAGCAGCAGTCAGCGAAGAAAGACAGCTGAGGGTCGACGGCGCGGGGCGGGCAGCTGTGTGGTGAATGGGTGAGTCGGGGTGGGGGCCGGGTGCCAGGGTGCGCTTCTGAATTTACAGAAGTAGGGAAGCTACACCGTCCCGGAGCTGAGGGCTGAGGGCTTGGGGTGCCCCCATTGAAGGGCGGGCAGCTGGCATAGGCCAGCTGCAGCCCCCACCCGCTGCTCCTGAGCCTGGACACGATTCTCCCTCCACCCCATTGGGGCTCCCTGACAGGCCGGGTCACAGGGCGCTCCGGAGAGCCCGGGAAGCAGGGACCTTCTCCCCGGAGAAGTGCACACACGGGCACCCAACCTCCCGTGAAAGGAGGAGGTGGGGTCACGGGCCTTTGAAGCCCCCACCTGCAGCTAAGATTAACACATCCCGTTATGGGGCAGTGGGGGCTGGGCAGGGCTGGGCGCTGAGGGGGAGGGGCGGCCAGCTCAGCCTCCTGGAGGCCCGCCTGTCAGAGGGAGCCCCTGTGCTGGGCACGGGCTGGAGCAGCAGACTTAAAAAGGCAAAAGAGAAAATCCAGGAAGCCTCCGCCTCCCAGAGAGATGCTGACTCTGTCCTGCGGGCCATATTCGGCCTCTCCGCCACCTCCCCCGCGGGCCCTTCCCCAGTTGCCAGGGACTGGGGACCCCCCAGCCCTGCCTGTCAGTCCTCTGGCCCAGAGGGCACTCCCCACGCCCTCCTCACAGCCTTAGGCCAGATCTGCGCCAGGCTGGAAGCAGGCACCTTGGCACCAGGACAAGCTGCCCACCCCCTTTCAGAGCGGCTGTGGGGTGGTGATGGGCCCCTCCCTCCCACCCTGGCTGCGTATCCCAAACAGCCTCGCACTTTAAATCGGAGGAGATTGTGATGCTGAAAGCGCATCCTACAGGTAAACCTCAGGGCCTCTCGCTTACGAAATCTAAGTGGCTGAGAGTAGGGGTTAACGCTAAGCAAGTGAACATTATTTTATTGGCTGTTTCACACTTATCCCTTTGGAGGTCTTTCTAGATTTTGCCGTTCGATGAGAGTTGGCATGGACTCCATGAAGAAAGAGCTGAGGAGAAAGGCGTGTCAGAGGAGAGACCCCCAGGGGCTTAACTTACAGCGATCTGAATTTTTGTACGCATTTAACAAGAAGTAGTATTTTATTTACTCAAATAAAATGCCTTTGTTAAAAGGGTCTCTGGTCTTTGGAAAGGCCGTGTGCGTGTGTGTGAGTGCACGTGTGTGCACGTGGTGTGTGTGTGTGCGGGCGCTGTCAGCGGGAGGAGTCGGGCCAACCCGCAGCTCCCTCTTCCCTGGTCTCCCCATTCCCTCCTGGGGGTGCCAGCTCCTCAGAACTGGGCCACAGGTGAGAGAGAGGCCTGCGGGGTGGGGGGGTGGGGGGGTGAGGTGAACTGGCATTGGCCTTCGCCATTCTGGGACCTTGAATCTCTGCTCTCCTCTCTCCCCCTTCTCTTTCCCTCTTTTGAGCGACTCGTTGGGGTGCAGCAGCACTGGACTATGGTGATGGCACACGGGTGATTTGGAGGTGGGAAATACAGTATTTTTAAGTACTATTAATAGCTTATAGTATTTTTAAAAAATTTAAATTCGGCCTTGGAATTTGCGGAACATCTGGCCATCTTAGAAGATTTGGTAGGAGATGGCCAAGGGCTGAGCGGACGCTCGCCCACATCTCAGTATTTTCTAGGGGGGCGTTACCCTGTTCTATACATTTTCCTACCACTAGCGGGCGCTGACGGGCTCTCAGGCTGAAGAGGAAAGGGGACCCAGTGGAGGATGCAAGCGGGCTGGAGGCATAGGGGTGGGGTGCTGAAGGTCCTGGTGAATGGGGGCCGTGAAGTCCAGAGATACCCTGCTGCCCGCCTCAGTTTCCCTGGGCTGGAGGCAACTCGGCAGGAAGAAGCCTCCGTGACATGAATTCCCTGACCTGTCACAGACGTTCTGGGAAGAGCCAGAGAACATTTCCTTAGATCTTAGGGTGTGTCTGTTCTTACGGCTGGGGAGAAAGAGAAGTGAGAATTTTCCTCCAAGAGTGAAAAGGAAATAGGACCAGGGCCGTCAGGTCAGCGGTCAGTGCCGCGCTGGACTCTGGTGGCAGGAGCTGGGGAGGCCAGGACAGGGAGGCCGTCTGTGCTCAACATTCAGAGCCCTCAGCCCAAATTTACTAATGAGTTAATTGAGCCCCAGGGAAGTAAAGTAACTGACCCAAAGCCTCATGCTTAATGAGCTGGGAACTGGACAGTCCAGCTCGGTCCAGTGGATTCCCAGGCCCAGTGCCCTCTCCATTACTTTCGGCTGGAACTTTCCGTGCTGAGCCAACAGCAGCATTTCTCCATGGTGAACACAACATTCTTCAGCTCAGCTGCCCATTCAGGGTGGCTCCGGGGTCTCTCCGCTCATCCCCTTGTTCTCTTTCCCACCTTGCTTTTCTGAAGATGAAACCAGGCCTCAGAAGAATTGAAGTCTGGGCTCATTTCATTGCTTTGGTTTTCGGAAAAAAAAAAAAAAAAGCTCTCGCTGGCTAGCTTTGTTCATGTGATAACCTACAAACCTTCCGTTTTCTCCTTCTACAAAATACGTCTTGAAAAGCTACTCCGACTTGCACTGAGACAGGCTCTCACTGTGGTGTCCAGTTCGAGATGGCTGCTTGGCTGGTGGAGGTCTGACGTCAGAGATGAGCCTTATACCACGTCAGCTGTTGGAGTCAAAGAGAAAAGCCTGAACTTCCACAGCGGAGCCGAGCACTCTGGCCAGGCACGTGGGCTCTAGGAGCTGGCTGGCCCAGAGTCATTTTCGCTGGTAAAATGAAAAAATGATTGAGCCTGCCCTGTGGGGTTACAACAAGGGTGAAGTATGCACTCTGGGTTGGAACTGCGCTGAAGCTGGTTCCAGAAAGTTCTATGCTTCAGTTTATCCCATCTAGAAATGGAGGTAACCATTGCTCCCACAGCCCAGACTGTGGTGAGGATTAAGCACGTGTTGCTCTTAGTGCGCATGACTGCAGAACTCAGGACCAGGGTGGAGTCAGAGTGGCGTAGGGGCAACAAGCTCTTGTAGCCACACCCAGGGCACCTACATTTGCATCTGTATGGGGCGAGGATGTGGAGCTGACTTGAGTCCCAGTCCCTGCTCTGGAAGAACTAAAATCCTAACACACACGTGAAACAAGTAGAGAAAAGGAACCACACAAACGTACACACAGAATTTTCCCACCAGGTCCCACTGCCAAAGGAATGTCATTGTAGAGGAAGGCACTCACGCACCGTGGCTTCCTTTCCAAAGGTAGGTGGGTGCTGACCTCGGGAGCTGTGGCTGTCACTGGAAAGAGAATCTTTGCAGCTCTGAGTAAGTTAGAGGTTTGGGACGGGAGGCATGATTCTGGACTACCGGGGTGGGCTCTAACAGCTAACCACCGTGGCTAAGAGGGAAGCAGAGGCCAGCTGGACCCAGGAAAGGAGAGAGTCACGTGGCCAGGGAAGTCATGTGGCTGGGGCGGTGCCTCCGCCATCGGAGGAAAGCCGTGGCCACAGGAGGCTGGGAGAGGCGAGGACAGATTCTCCCCAGAACCTCTGCAAGGAGTGTGACTTCCCACCCCTTGGTCGTGACCAGCGCAGAAAGTTTCTGTTTGAAGTCGGGAGTTTGCGGTGCTTTGCTAGAGCCACCAAGAGGCTCCAGCACAGTCCTGGCTGAACCCCCTGACCCAGCAGGTGGTGCTGCAGGTGTGAGGCATCTCCTGGCAAAATGCCTGTTAGCAAAAGGTGCAAAGTCCATCACTCAGTTGCTCAAAAGCACTGTTTCTATCTGACAAAGGCCAGTGGATCCTTGAACACGAAGGTTTGACCTCACAGGCCCCACAGACATGGATTTTTCTTGTAAACAGATCCATAAACTTAGAGTATCCAGGATGCTGTCCAGTACGGTGAAACCACACCCTCTTATAACCTTAATACCGTTTTCTTTTCTCTACATTACTTTATTGTAAGAATATAGCATATTCAACATCAAACTTACAAAATACGTATCAATCACCTGTTTTTGTCATCGGCAAGGCTTCCAGTCAACGGCAAGCCATTTGTAGTTCAGTTTGGGGTGGAGGGAAGTCACAAGTTACTCATGGGTTTTTGCCTGGGGTGGGAAGGACAGCGTCCATAACCTCCCCATCGCTCAAGAGTTAGCTGTAATTCCAAATAATTCAGGGGGGTCCAGGAAGGAAGCAGGACAGGAAGACAAGCAAGGAATCTGGTGCTTTCCGCCCTTGGTCCTCGGAACCTGGTCCCCCCAAATCATATGCATGGTTAAACCTGTTGTAGACATTTTCCTGTGATTTTTTTTACATAGGCAGAAAAATTGCTTCTACTATAAAATGATATCCTGAACATATATAAACAAGAGTGCACTTTAACGTGTTTAACAGGAAGCGGGCTTTTTCCCTATAAAACTGAGCGGTACCACCGCACATCCTCCCAGCTGGGACACCAACAGTCTCAACCCTGAGCGGATGCTCTTGTGCCAGCAGCTGGCGGCTCAGGAGTCACGACTCCGAGATGCAACTCCGTGGCAGAGTCACGTTGCCTGCTGGGAGTCTTAGACTCGAGAGGGAAGGTGGACTACTAGCAAAAGCTGCAAAGTCCATCACTTAGTCACTGAAAAGCACTGTTTCTATCTGACAAAGGCCAGCGGATCCTTGAACGACACAGGGTCGACCTGCACGGGCCCCACAGACATGAATTTTTCTTGTAAACAGATGCACACCCCACTCTCCCCACTTGTTCACCCACGTCCTCCTTGAACCAATCTCTGGCATCCCTCTCCCAGCTCCTTCTAGGACTGCAAACTGGCCTTGGCGGGTGGGGATGGGCTGTTACCTCCTAAGCACCCTTCTGCCATCTTGCTGAGAAGCCCCTGGGTGGTCTAGACCATCAGGTGACTCCCCGCGGATTATTTCAGTGGGTTGAAACTATTTTGCTTGCTCTTTATTTTCAGATTTTGGGGGACACACACTTGGTTCTCTGAGCTTGGCTCAGCCCTGCTCTCACCCAGCTCCTCTGGGCTGAGTTAGTGCTCAGCCTCCCACTGCCGCAGCCCTCAGCGGGACCTGAAGGTGGGAGTCGAGAACCCTGGTTCGCCAACAAGCTTTAATGAAGCCTCCAGCATCCTAAAGCCCTTTGCTGCCCCCTGAGGAAACTCAGTCCTCACAGACAGAGGCCGGTCCCCCGGACTCGGGAGAGGTCCCGCCATGGCACTAACCATGTTGGAAATCACCCTTATGAAAATTTCCCGAAATAGTAGTTTTCCCATCTCCGCACCTTGTTCGTGAGTACTTTCCATTTGTTTGCATTTATCCTTTCAATCCCTTTGCGAAGCAAGTCACTGAGAAGTATGTACTGGTAAGAACAGACATTGTCGGAGGACTGCAAAGAAAACTCCCTTCTGTTGTTGATGATAAACCACTTCAGAGAAGACCAGGCGGAGTCTAAAGGGCTCAGATAGTTGTAAGGAGACGGCAGACAGAGCAGCTCATGGCCACAGGCCTTGGCCACCTTGGGGCAGCACATGATGCTCGTTAGGTTAATGACGGGCGTGACAAGCGCCTGGGCCTCGGCCTCGGGCCCCGCGTCCTCCTTCAGTTTCACCTCCTCTGGCCTCATTCTCTCTTTGACCACAATGGCACACTTGCCGTAGGTCTTCTTCGTCACATTACAGAACTCAAAGAAGAGATTGTCTTCTTGTTTGTTGCACAACTCATCTCGTAGGAACAGCCGGTACTTCCAAGGGACCCACCCATGACAGCCACCGGCGTGCACAAGACACCATGTTGGCATTTGTATGAAGTAGCTGTCGCTAAAATCTCCCCCAGTTACAAGACTTTCCGGGATATCAGTTTCCCCAAAATACACAGTCTTGAACCCATCATATTGCAGTGTTCTCAGGGTTTTCAAGTATTGGAGACATTGCTTCCTCTTGACACCATCAAATGGACTTCTGGTGACGATGTTTCGTAAAAGGGGGTTCGCAAAGTGAAGCATGTGGGTCTCTGCAGTGTTTTTACAGTTGCAGGCCCCCACCTGTGGGGGTCTGGCAAGGGTGGGTGTGACTTCATAAAGGGCTTTCTTACAGCTGGGCTGGCCCCACAGATATACTTGGGGTTTCAGAGCACTGTGGAACAGACTCAGATCAATTCCCACAGGCTTATGTGATAAGGACAAGAAATGGTCTCCATAGACAATGTTGCTTGATGTGGTTTCTGTAATGGATCTGGGGTGGAGACTGGCCACGCATCCGTTTGCCATATCCTGATGCCACGGGCTGGTTCATTTATTTATTTATTTATTTATTTTAAAGATTTATTTATTTATTCATACAGAACTGGGGTACTGGCCAGAGATGCGGAGGGTGAGAGGATTCACCAGGGACAGAGTGGGGAGCAGAACAGGCAGATCTACGAAGTACACTGCTGAGGGGAGCAGCGGGCAGGTCAGGAGAGGTCTGCCGCGCCAGGTGGATCTCCTCTGGGTCAGGCGGGGATAGAACTCATGCGGAAGTGGCTTAAGCTTCTTTTTGCAGCGCATTAACCCGCTCCACCACCAGGGAGGGCCAGGGGCTGGTTCATTTAAACAGGAACTTGGTTTTTTGTTTTTTTGGTTTTTTTTAAAGATTTATTTATTTGTACATACAGAACTGGGCTACAGGCCAGAGGCTCAGGGGCAGTGAGAGGCTTCACCAGAGACAGAGTGAGGAGGGGAGCAGAACAGGCAGATTGACGAAGTACACTGCTGAGGGGAGCAGCGGGCAGGTCAGGAGAAGTCTGCCGCGCCATGTGGTCACCTCCAGGGCCAGCCGGAATCGAACTCATGCGGAAGTGGCTTTAGCTTCTCAGTGCTTTAACTCACTGCACCACCAGGGAGGGCCAAGAACTTGTTTTTTCAGTTCTGGAGCTGGAAGTCCAAGGTCAGGGTGCTACCATCTCTTTGTGACTTCACTTCCTCTTGGAAGAGGGTCCACCCTGATGACCTTACTTTACTTTCATCACTCTTTAAAGACCCCTTTTCCAGGTCTAGTCACATGCTGAAGTAGTGGGGGCTAGGGCTTTGACTGATGATTTGGGTGAATGCAGGCAGGCGATGAGCACACCTGAACAACGACGCGTCACGTTTCTGACTCCTTTCCACATGTCCATCAGGAATGTTTATATTCATTCATTCCACGCTCCTTTCCCGAGCACTCCGATGCATCAGACATTGTACAGGGTCCTGGAGGTCTGGGGTGTGGGGGTGTCTGTCCTGGGGCTCCTGGCACCTGCCTGTCCTCTTTCACCACCAAGAGTGGCTTATCCCGGGGCCGGAAAGGCAGTAGGGCGCACAGCAGAGGCAACCTGAGCCCTGTCTTTCACGAGGCTGCCAACTCGAGCTAATTCAACACCCTACAAAGCACTTACTTTGTATACTCAAGGCGAAGCAACAGTTTGCTTCAAACTCTGACAGCCTCTTTATTTATTTCCCCTTATTTGTGTCTTTTTTGTCTCCTTCCTCATACCACAAAACTCAACTCAGTAGTAATGTAGACTCCCCCACCTACCCCAGATGAAGGTGTCTATTTCCTACTGAAAGAATCAGGAATCCTGTGATCCCAGGCCCAGGCAAGCGTATATCAACATGAGTTTAGAACACGGTGCCCAGACAGGAAGGGAGGAAGCTGTCCCAGACCAGCAGCAGGTTCTGTTGAAAGGAACCAAGAAGCCATGAAAAGGGCTCCTGTGGTCTAAGATGGGAGGATTTGAGCGTCAAAAACATAAACACAAAGATGAGCAATGACTACAATAAATTGAAGTCATATGTTTACTTTCTGAGTTTGCAGTGGTGCTTTAAAAAATTCAGCCATTGGAAACCTGCCGGGATTACAAGTGAGATGAAAAAAAAAATGTACAATGATGTAAAAATAAACTGTTATAATAAAAAAATGATAAAAAAATTCAGCCATTAAAAAAGTACAAAACATCGTCTGTTGCCTTTGGAGGTGCTCTGAAGGGTGGGGGGGGGTATCACTGCATTATTTTGCCAAATAATAAGTGGACAAACCAAGTGCTTATCTTGCCTTTCTTTGTGTGACTTTGAACCAGTCTAGGCCAAAGACATGGTGTGTCAGTAGACGTAAAATGCTCAGTTCACTGTATAAACAACTAAAGTGGATCCCAGGCCGAGTCACCACACCGCCTGTTTAAACAGGCAGGCTGGCCGGCGCCAGCACTTCAGTCCTGCCCTGCATCTTGCTCAGACATGCCGCTCACCACGCTGACCCCAGGTGCTGCGCCAGGTGAACATCCTTAGGCCCAACTCGTGACGTCAGCTTCCTGGCGGAGGAAGACTGAGGCCACACGTGCTGTTGTCATCACCGCAGCTGCGGCCCAACCGAAGCTCTCTTCCGGAGCCAGGCTAGATTCTCCTCTCTGGCACTGTTTCCCTCACGCGTGCGGCGCTCTCATAATGCCTTGCCTGGTTCCACTGCACTGAGGGCTCATGGTGAACTCTCCTCCTAGGGTATAGGACCCACTCTTTCGGGGTGAGGCCTGGTAACAGCTTCCGGGCCAGAGTGAGAGAGCCAGCGTACGTGTGCTGTGGATGGAGTCCCCAGCCTGCAAGTGAGTTAGGCAATCCTGTGCCCTGCGGCTGTGAGTAGAGGCCCAGGACTCTGATAAATCCAAAGTCAAAGCACAGCCCCGCTCCATCATGAACCTCCGCTGAAAAGTGGGGCGAATACCTGTATGAGCTGAGGACGGCTGACACAGCAGACTAACCCTAAGGTGCAGGGTTTCATAAGTGGCTGCTGCTGCTGTTGCAAGAGGCTGCCTGGGAAGACAGACTCTGAGAGTTTGGCAGTGAGTGACTGAGGAGAAAAGGAACAGTCAGGGGAGGGAAGAGGAAAAACAAATCAAGATTGAAGGTCAATGTGGCAGTGAAACAAGTTGTTTCACCCATGGCAGACATGGAAATGAGCCTTCCTTAGTCTTCCTCCTTCCATTCTGCCTCTGACTCTCTTTCTTTTCCCCTCAACTTCATCAACAAACTTAATAACCTCCCGTTCTGGTAAAGTCTTGGGAAGACTACGATCCCCTTAAATTCCCTCAGGGAAGGCGCCATTTTGTGGGAGAGAAGCAGAGTCAACAAAGGAGCTCAATTCAAGATGGCCCCTTGGGGGGGGCGGAAGGTTCCAGAAGTGGGAGACTAAACTGTGTGGAGATAGAGTAGCCCTAAAGCTGGGATAGCAGTGGTGGGGTAGCAGAGATAAGCCTTTAATGGGTTCCTGACCTCGCCCCTCAAGATGTGGTGAGGAGGCCCCAGGGCTGAGTTACACCCATCCAGCAAATGTGTAACCACTGGCGGTTCCAGAATGCCCAGCCAGCAAATTCCAAGGCGAAGGGGCAGAACATCCACAGGGGTGTGTCTGCACAGCTGAGGCAGGGAGGCGGCGCCCATGGCTGTGGCAGGGGGCCGCCTCCACGCGCGGTGTTAACATGGCGCCCGTCCACTTCCTGTTTGCTCGGCCTGTTCCGACGCCTCGCGACGCCCGTGCAGGTTGGCGTCTGCGCTCACTGCTGTTACTGGGCTTCTCGGCAGCCTGCGCTGCAGTCGTTGCATTTTCTACAAATGGAAGGTGTGAGACAACGAGCCGATGGGTGTCATTTTTCCAACAGCATGCACTTATTTTGTGTCTCTCTGTCATTTTTTTTTTAGTAATAAAGCATTTTTTCAGATTTAGCCATGTGCCTTGACTTTTCAACACAATTCAGTCGTACAGTGATGCACACTACCTTGTAGTGTAAACAGAACTTTTGTATTCACTGGGAAACCAAAAACATCGTGTGTCCTTTCTGAGGTGTGCTGTATTTCAGGTGTTCCCAGAAGGGCTGGGGAGAGGGGAGCCAGAGGATCTGTTAATTTGTCAGAATTGGAAAATAAAACCCAAACCCTCAGTAACTTTTTTTTCAAACATGTTATAGCATTTATTTTAATTTTTTTGCATTTTTTATTTTGCATTTCTTTTTATTTTTTTAATAATAGTTTATTTTTACATATTTTTGTGCCTTTTTCCATCTCAGTTGCAATCCCCTTGGGTTTCCCATCACCACGTCACCCATGTGCCCTCACCATAGTCCAGTGCATTTCCCTCCCCCCACTGTACCCTCAGTAACTTTTAAATTATAAATGGAAGACACGTGTGTTGTGAACGTAATTTCAGGCGACTTTCTCCCTCCCGCTTCACCTCGGTTTCACCGCCAGAGGGAGCCACTGTTAGCCTTTGTCTTGCTCACCCAGACGTTCTGTTTCTGGGGTCTGGCGTTAGAGAACAAAGGACAGTTGATGGGGCCAGGGGCTTTCCGAGTCCCTGGTCTCAACGCCAGAGGTGGAGTGCTGCACCCTCCTGGGGTCCCCAGAGTGACCCCGCCTGGGTGCAGCACGAGAGAGAAACCCACCTCATTCAAAATGGCTGCCTCCCCACTCCTCCCTGGCACGAAAACAAACACATTTTGGGCAACGACTTCAGGCTACATCACAGAGAAATGCCACTTTGGAACTGGATAGCCCTCGTCTGACTCTCTTGCCAGCTGTGTTGATGGAGGAATCACAAGATTGAGTCACACAAGGGGACGGGGAGAAGGGGCCAGTGCAGCAACTGACGGCCATAATAACATCAAGGTCCGAACAGGTGTGCCGAGGCCCCGGATGCCTGAGTATCTGCAGGAGGTCCCAGCAGGTAACAGACTGTTGGGGGCTGTCTCTGACGCTCAAATCCAGAAGGTGAAAGATAGGACATGGACATGAAGTTCATCAGAAATCTCTTCAGTTTCTATTCAAAGTCAACCAACCTAGGCTCACAGGGAGTGAGCCCCCTCCAGGGAGAGGCTGTCTATATCCTGTAGTCTCTCCACCAGCAGGGGCAGCCACTTCTCTGCCCACCCGCTTCTTTCCACCCGCTCTCCCTCTGCAGGGCAGCCGCGTCCTCTGTGCATGCCATGCAGGGACTTCTCTGC